TATATATATATATATATTAAAACTTCATATATTGAATATCTAAATGCATGAGAATTAAGAGGTATATATGTAATTTTTTATTTTTTTCCAAAACATCCCAAAAGAGCCAAACATTTTGCAACTACTGAGCGAGGGGAGAACCCCACCTGGGAAGCAGTCTATGTTCTCAGCCATAATCTAAAGAAAGGATTGTCTCATCCTCTACAACGGTGACACAACGGCACACTTTTAGGCACGCCTCACCCGTCCAATATAATTTCCCCAAAATAATTTCCATTTCAATAAAAATAAATCTTAAAATTAATGGATTAATTTATTTTTTCTCTTCTTGTAATATATAAAGTATAGGGATAAATGAGCCGATTTTGAGCGAGCATACTCTTTGTTCGTGTTTTGTTCGTTTGAAATTTTTATGGGGATGAGATGGTAATACGGTAGTTGGACATTTTCTTCGGTAACAAAAACTCAATAAAGAAGGGGTGGGTGATGCAATTACATACATATCACTTGAAAAATTTTATTTACAAATCAACCTCTCTTTTCACGCATTTTCAAATTCTCACTCGAATATAAAAATTCATGATAAAATTTAATCCGTAGTTTTTCATTTTCATCCAATTCTCAATAATTTGGGCATGTGTGAATAGAGCAGTTCAATAGTTCAAATAAATCACTTGGCTGATTAATTGTAAATATCAATGTTTTAGGTGGTTTAAGTGTAATTTTCTAAAAATAATAGACAATTATCTACAAGCTTATAACAGTTGAAAATAAACAGTTTCATGCAAAGTTGTAAGAATTGAAGTTTGGACATTATAGAAATCGAGGGGTAGATATGTAATAATGTAATTTTTTTCTTAAATTCAATTGATGAATTTAATACATAGTATAAAATATGATTGACAGGATTAATTTAATATAGATTTTAATAGTAAGTTGGAGCGCATTTTGTCGAGCAGAATGACGATGGCCGAGAATCCGGCAACATAAATCTTCCGCCTCGCCCTAACGTTGCCAACTCTCCGACGATATTTGATCGGGAATCGGGATCTCATCGGCGGCCGGCGATGGATAGAGGTCAGTATTTGCAGCAGTTCGTCGACGAGACGGAAGCGTTCAACAACATTGTTCTCGGCTTGATGGTGCCGGAATCGATTTGGCGGCCTCTGCCTTCCATGCTCAAGTCATGGCTCCGCAACTACATCGGTGGAAATCTCCTATACTTCGTATCCGGATTTATTTGGTGCTTCTATATCTACTATCTCAAGCGCAACGTTTACATTCCCAAAGGTTTTTGTTTAAATTGTTTGGTTTTTTGGGGTTTAGATACTCTGCGGATTGATGCTTTTACTGTTTAGATGTTGATTGGAAATTTTATCTTGCGAGGCTTCTAGGATTAGGCGTGTTTTGTTTGATTGTTGATTCTTTAAAAGCCATGTTGTTGCTTTAGTCTTTGTTTGAGATTTTTCATTGGTGTTGCTCGTTGAACCACTTCGAAGGTTTGTAGAGAAAGATGAATATGCAACACTTGAAGGATACTTTGTATGGAGGTAGAAAGGAGATAATCAGCGGGAGTTAAACGACAAAGAACAGGACAGGACACTAGAAAATTTTAG